CCCCCCGCCACAGAGGCACCCACACAGCCCACCCAGGCACCGGGGAATGCCTGTGCGGTGAGCCCAGGTGTTCAGGATGCCCGCAGGTACCCGCGCCACAAAGCCCAGGCTCTGGAGCATCCACGTGGCAAACCCACGCAGACGCAGAGGGTCACACCATGAACCCAAATGTCCGGAAACGTCCAGGGATGCCAACGCAGGCACCTGAGATTCCCCACACCGCAAACCTAGGCATGTGGGCCCCCGCGCAGGGAGCCCTGGCATCCAGGAGCCCGGCAGAGGCCCGTGCCAGGAGCCAAGAGCCTGGCAGTGCCCGGGACCCTGGCAGAGGACACCCTGCTGCCGGGGGTTTCTCACCAGTGAGGATGGCCTGCAGGGACGCCACCTCGTCCTGGCAGCGGCGCTGCACGGCAAGGAATGGGAAGCACGGATGGGTCACACAGCGCCCCTATACAGCCAAGCCCCGCCCCTGCCCCCTAGAGCCTGGCCCCGCCCGAGGCCCCCCCCAGGGACGTCGCACCCCCGCACCCTCCATGCCGCCGCACGCGCCGAGGGCTCCCGGGCGCTTCCGGGTTCGACACCAGCTGGGAAGGGACGGAAATGCCCGAGCGGAAGCGGAAACGCCCGAAGGTGAGCCGGAAAGAACCGAGCTTGGCCGGAAAAGCCCGAATGGAGCCAAGCGTCCGAAAATATGCGAGAGCGTCCAAACACCTCCGGAAATGGCCGAGCGACTCCGGAAAGGCCCGAGCCGGGACGAAGGGCGTTCGCCCTTGTCCATCTGGTCCCCTGGCCACTACTCCTAGCGACACCCCTCGCAGCAGCCGTGTCCTGGGCAGTCTCACCCCTAGCAACAAGCACTGGTAAAATAGGTCCCTAACAGCTGCCCCTGGGCACTGTTCCCCTGGAAACAAGCCCCTCAGTGCAACCACCCCAAGGCAGCCAGTTCCCATGGCAACAACCCCCTAGCAACCACCCTGGGAATCCAGTCCCCTGGCAACAAAGCTGCCCTAGCAACCAGCCCCCACCCCGGCCCCAGGCCCAGACACCGGCATGCGCCCAGGGCTCCCAGCCGTGCAGGCCGCGCCACCTGGGAGCCATGGGCAGGAAGCCACCCCCGCACAGCTGCCAGGCTGTTTACCGCCTGCCTGGCCCGGCACCCCTGGGGACTGGCCCGGAAATGGGGCTGGCAGGGCAAGGGCCGAGCTGGGCCCTGGGGGCTGCGCATCCACCTCAGCACACCTATCCCGGCGGGGGGAAGTGTAGCCACCCCGTGACCCCCGCCAGCTGCGTCCCAGCCCCCGGGGACCTGCTGCTGAGAACGTCACGCTCCAGAGCGCCCCGCTCGCGCCTGGGCATCGCTGCGTCCCGCCCTGCGCCCCGCCCGGGCAGAGGGACGCCATGGCGCCCACCGTGCGCTGCCTCCCGCTGCTGCTCCTGCCCCTGTTCCTGGCACTGGGGGGCTGGGGGAGCCCCAGGGCCCACGGCGCAGCCCCCCAGGGGCACCAGGAGGCAGCCACGCGGGTGAACGTCACAGGTGGGAGCTGGGAGGGGATGGGGCAGGGGGCAAGGGTCACAGGTTGGGGCCAGGCAGGCGACAGAGCCAGGGCAGGGGTCGTGGAGGTGGGGGACAGGCTGTGGCCTGCTCAGGGGTC